CCCACCCCCCACAGCCCAGGCCCCCGCCCGCGGTCCGTTACCTCATCCAGGTCCCGCTCCACAGCGCCTGCCACCTCCACCTCCACCACCGCCGCCATCTTGCCCGCCCACACGACCGAGGCGGAGACTTCCGCCAAGGCCCAGCCAATCAGCGGCCGCGCTGGCCCGCCCGCCCTCCAATGGCCGCGCGCGGCGCCGCGCACCTCCAATGGGACAGCGGAGGGGGCGGGACCTCGCTGTCAAGGAGCAGAGGGAGCGTCTGGAAATCACCGTCCTCGCGAGGAGAGGAAAAAGGGCCCCCGAAGGAGCGGCGCAGGGGCAAGCCCGTCTTTCAGGGTGTTTTATTCCTGTTTCTCACCGACGCGGTGCTGCCGAGTCCGGGGTCTTTGTGTTCAGCGCGACTTTACGTTTTGGTTCGGGTGCGGGACACGGCAGATGCTCCCTGCCGCCGCCCAGTCGCGCTGGCAGTCCTGGCGGGGAGGACTGCAAGGCCCAGCATGCCCCCCTAGCCCCTGACCTTTCACCCCGCTACAGCCCCCGCGCCAAGACTGGGGGAATTATGGGATGTCTCCCCGGCGAGGGGCGAGAGCTGCCGAGCGGGGAAACAACCAAAATATCGAAATATTATTAAAATAAGCCTAAGCACTCCTGGAAGTGCGTCGAGGCCACGCCCCAGCGTGGGCGGGGTCAGGGGTTACGCGTTTTGGCGGGAGATCGGGGCAGCAGCTGTGTCTTGAGCTGGAGCAGCGGGGTAAGAGTAGGCGGGGGGGGGTCAGACCCTGGGCTGGGAAGGGCGGTGTGCATATCTTTGGGGAAGAGGGGCATTTTAGGGGTGGGGTCAAAGGTCAGGCTGTATGCATATCCTTAGGGGGGGACCCCCATGGCATCCTGGGGAGGGGTCAAGGGGAGAAGGACAACTTTGGGGTGGGGTCAAAGGTCAGGCCCTGGGCTGGGGGGCTGCGTGTCTCACCTTGGGGGTTGGACATGGTATGCTGGCAGGGTCAGGGGGACAGGGGCAGCTTAGGGGTGGGGTCAGAGGTCGAAGGTCGTGGAGGCGGGGGCTGGACCCGCGTGCTATCGTCGGGTCCAGCCTTACCTGGGACAGGGGAGTCTGGGGCTTGCAGCGACGCCAGCGCGGGGATGTTTTGCGGGTGCGATGACTTGGTTCCTTTGGCCTCCCCCACTACAAATGGCGGCAGGGGGAGCGGGATCCAGTTGGCTTCTTTACATGTGATCGCCGGCGGGTTTCCCACAGGGGCTGTGTCCCGGGCGTGCGAGCTCCAGTGGAAATGATGGTTGTCTGTTCCTGTTCTAGACGCCTCCCTCGTGGGCTGGATGGTGCTGGGCGCTGTACGGACATGGAGCTAAAAGTCAGCCCTGCCTCTATGCAGCTTGACGAGAAGCCGTGGGTAGACTGGAGAGCGTGAGGAAGCACCAAGGCAGTTTCTTACCCATCGCAGTACCAAGGTCCTGTCTCCCTCGCTCTTTACTGGAGGTATATTATAGGGCAAGGCTGTCTTACTCTCCTGGGGCCCCTGGCTGGATCTGTACTGAGGGGCTTTCTGGGCTTGGTCATCCTGAGGCATTGCCCGCCATGGCAGTGGTCTGGCAGTAACTGCAGGTATGGGAAAGTGAGTCCAGGGGCAGCAGCAGTGAGTTAAACTCGCACCCTGCGACCACCAGTAGCTTGCCAGTAGTGCCGCAGGCTGGATAGAGAGGCTCCGTGGGCCACATCCAACTTGCAGGCCGTATGTTTGATACTCCTGTTGTACATTATTCTTTCACAGGCTGCTTTGGGGGGCTGTGGAGTATGAGAGGGGTCAGAATGGATGATTTTGTGGACCTTCATGGACAAATAGTTGCCTATAAGTCAAGGGGACTGGACTTGGTAGGGCCCTTTCCAGTCCTATATATCTGTGGTAGTCGGTGGTTGCAGCACATCCCTCGCTTAGCGATGATGGCTTTGGTTGCTCCTGCCCCCATCCCCCTATGCTTTTTCTGCTATATATGTCAGGGTGTTTTTAAGCCTCCCCAGAGGCATTGGGTGTTAGCTACAGCTAAGGCTGGGTTATGCCGATTCTCCTGCTAGGAACAAAGCTGGAGGTTCCTGGCTGGAGGGTCTTTCCCTTCTGTTCAGGGTCAGACCGATGCTGTATTTGGGGTCAGCAAGAAATGTTACCCTGTGGCCAGATTGGTAGAGACTGGGGTGGGGGGCTTGCCTTTCTCTGTAGCTGGGGCATGGTCTCTGTCTGGGATCTCTTAGGCATACATTGACAGCATTTCGTAGAAGCAGGACATTGGCTGTTGTGGTTCCTCTGCCTTACCTCTGGCAGGTTAGGTCTATATTGTGTCAGGGTCTTATGTAGAGTTTACATTATGGTCGTCTGGGATGGCTTGGACAGGGCTGATCCTGCCTTTGGCAGGAGGGTTGGATTAGACGTGGCCTCCACAGGTCTCTTCTAACCCTGCTTCTCTATGACTCGAGTCCAAATGCCAGGAACTTCAGAGAAGCGTCTGAGCCAACGTGGCTGCCAATTGCACTGGCAGTGCAAAGTGCATGTAGGTTAATTGTACAGGTGTCAGGAATGGACAGACATGAGATTTTCCTGGGACAGCTCCATGCATTAGGTGCTCTTAGTGTGTTTTGTCGTTGTGTAGTGGGGAAGTGGGTAACAGCCTGTTTTGCCTTGAGGAGACAACTGACTTGTGACAACAGCTGCAGACCACACCTAAACAGCTGGAACTTTGCTGGTGCAGTTTTACCTGCTCCTGGGAAATTTACCTACATTTGGGGAAATTCTCCACCAGATCAGGCAGAATTACTCCAGTTTTGGGGAGGGGTCTCTTGCCTGTGTCAACATGCCCTCTCTGTGTTCCTGAAATACAACACATGCAGAGAGATGTGCCTGGGTTAGTTAATCTACAAATGCTTCCACTGCTGCCTCGGGTTAGATTTCTCTGTGTAGACCTGTGATCTGATGCAGAGAAGGGAGGACGGATGGGGCCTCGCGTTGACCTGGGAATGCTCATCATTACTCTTTGGTTTGTGCAGCCCTTGCTGCAATATACCAAAGCCAAATCCTCCTGGGAAGGAAGCGGGAGGGGAATGAACATGCTCTGATCTTTGTACCTGCTTTGGTTGCGGATTCCTTGGCAAATGCACCTGAAGTGAGACACGATGGAAACCCCTTCTGTCTCCCTTGTTTCTGCTAGGCACTGACAGCCCAGATGAGGTGACAGCCCATCTCAGCAAACCCACAGGCAGTTTGGATCAGCTAGCTGGGGTCTTAGGAGGACCAGGAATGGCTCCAGTTAAAATTAGCCACGTGGTGTCCTTCACATCGCAGGTAATCCCGGGGCTTGCATCTTTAGTGGCCTTCATTTCATTGGACTCTGGGGGTTGCCAGGTCTCGCTGTGAGGATTTATGTGCCTCTGTTCCTCCAATGCTGGTATGGGTGGCCTCCCAGATGCTGAGGCTCTGATTTTCTAGTAAGGGGCCTAGTGGAAGACGATTAGGGCTTCTTTCTGGGGCTCCAGAATTTAAGTCCTGCTCCAGACTTGTGGCAGAGGCTGCAACCAGCCAGTCCTTCATTCATGCTGGAGGATTGAACGCAGCTGTCAGCTACAGAAAGTGGGATCCCTTACATATGCCCCGGCTGCCGTCTCAGGAGGGGCTTGGACCTTTCTGACTCTGGAGATGGGAGAGCAGGTGTGCTGTGGAGCAACAGCTGGGGCTTTGGCCCAGGGGATGGTGCTAAGTGGATAATTTTTCTTCTTCTCTCAAGCTCTTGGGTGGTGTCTTTGCTCTGTGCTCTTAAGCCAGTGTCATGCGTCACCCTGAAGGTGGCTGCACACTGGGAATGTGGTAGGTGTGATGTCCTCGTATTGCACCATGTGCTTTGAGGTTATTACTGCTCATCTGCCCTTGTCCTTGCTTCTCCCCTTCTCCCCTCCACCTTCCCCATGTGGTGCAGGACCCCAAGCACCCGGTGGAGAACCTGCTCTGTGAAGACAGCCTTCGCCCCTGGCTGAGCTGCCCCCGGGACCGGAGCAGGCAGCTCAGAGTGGAGCTGCAGTTGGAGCGAGCAAGTCCCATTGGCTACATAGACGTAGGTATGGGAGAGGGAGAGACCAAGACCCCCGACCCTTTGAGGAGGAGTTTCAGTTGTGCCTAGTTCAGCAAGGAAAACAAGACCTGTAGGAGGGGTCTTGCCCAAAGCAGTGCAGTGAAGAAGTGGCAAAGGCTCAAGACATCTCATGATGGCTCCTGAGCTGCATGTTCAGGCTTTGCTCAGACCTGGTGGGGGCTGTTCCCAAGTATAAATGTGCAGCTGGTTCCTGGGGCTGGGGAGCCAAACCCAGTCCTATCCCTCCTTTGTGCACTACCTCTGTGGGAACTGGGTGAGACATGCAGCTGTGCCAGTCTTTGGCATTTCTGGCTTACTGCAGGCCAGGCCTCTCTCCTCCAGGTCAGGGTTGAGGTATGGGGCAGGGTGGCAAGTCTCCCCTGGCACCAACATGGCACCTTTCAGGGCTCTGGCATTGATCCTGGCTAGAGATGATGAAAGCCCAGCTGCTCTGAGCCTGACCTGACCTTCTCCACCCCCTTGCCCAGGGAACTGCGGCTGCGCCTTCCTGCAGATTGAGGTGGGGCGCTCGTCCTGGCCTCCAGACCAGCCCTATGTCACCCTGGTGCCCTGCACCACACTCATGACACCGGCGGACTCGAAGCTGGACCGGAACCGCTCGGGGGTCCGCATGTTCAAAGAAGGTACAAGAGGATCTGGGAGAAGCAGGTGGTGGGACGAAGGGGGGTAGGTCTGAGGGGTGGGGCTTCCTAGGTAGTGCCCCATCACGCTTGCCTTCCTGAGCCCTCTGGCCCTGGAGGCAGGGTAATGGGCTGGGTGACTACAGCAGGAGATGGGGGTGTGGAGGTGCTGGCAGGGAGCAGGATGCCAGGTGCCAGCAGGTTGTCAGAAAGGCTGCTAGCAAGCAGTAGGACAGACTCCAGGAGTGAACTTCTCCCTACATCTCCCCATCGCTGTCTGCAGGGGATTTCCTGGCCAGTGCACGAAGTGAGAAGTGGGATCGCCTGCGCGTCACCTGCAGCCAGCCCTTCAACAAGCAGACCCAGTTTGGCCTCTCCTTCCTGCGCCTCCGCACCCCACTGGACCCTGATCACAGCCAGGCAGCACCGGTACCGCACCATAGCTCGGTAGGTGCCTTGGGGCAGTGCCTGGGTCCCCTCCTCACCAGAGCAGCTCCTGGGGCTTCCTCTTGGTGCTGGTGCAGCTGATACTCTTGCCCACTGGCCATACTGGGAACAGGTGGTGCTGAGGCTCCTGAAGTCCTGACCGGCTTCCGTAGTAAGGTGTGCTACGCTGTGGAGGGAGGCAACTGCTCACCCAGCCCTTGCAGTGCAACCCTCCATTGCATTCTCCAGGCCGCAGGGTTGCTATTAAGCTATTCGAGGGTCAAGATTACATCACATGATGTACCTTCCTGGTATGTGTGTGTTGTCCCAGGCCCCAGTGTCTTAACTCCCCATTGCAGGGAGAAGATAAGAGGGGTGCAGTGCTGCCCTCAAACGCACTAGCCTGGCCTAGTCTCTTGGATCTCTGCTGCGTGTCTGGGTGGGAAGGGGGGAAGGGTCCCTGCCTTGGGTCCGCAGTCGCATATCCCTCTCTTGCAGGAAGACTGTGAGCCGACTGCCAGCCCCTGGCTCGCCAACCCTGCTTTCCGCCGGACATTTTTCCCTGAGGCACAGCCGTGAGTTGCCTAGGCAGGGAGTCCAGGGGTTGCACTGGGAGCCCTCGGTCTGGGCCAGAGGCAGTGGCCAGGTTGGCCTGCCGGGCCATGGGAGACAGGTCAGTGCTGGTGTCTCTGGCTCAGGCTGGGGATTTCTTGAGGTCACCGGGTGCCTGTCCATGATGCAGGAGCATGGAGCAGCAGGAGGAGCTGAGGAGCTGCCTGCAGCAGCTGGAGCCTGGCTCTGGGTCCTATCCCCGCAGCCCAGCTGGTCTCAGCCGGACAGCTAGGATGGTGCTGTCAGCAACCCAGGCCCGTGCCTGCCCACCTCCACCTGCGCCCAGCATGAGCTGTCCTGCTGCTGACGGCCTGGAGCAGCAAGCCCAAGACCCAGCTGCGAGCCCCACGGCATCAGGTGAGAGGAGCTGGGGCATTACATGGGAGCGAGGATGCTGTAGCCCCAGTGCCAGAGCCATCCCGCCAGGGAGCAGGAGCTGGTCCTCTACACAGAGGGCGGTGGATGGGGGGAGTGTAGCACAGACCCTCTAGCTCTGTGGACCCTCTAGACCCTGCTTCTGCAGGGGCACTGCCCAGGCCTGGGTTGCGGAGGTCTGGGTAGATCCCTGCCCTGCCCCTTACCCTTCGGCTGGTGAGAGGAGTGCTGTTAGGTTGCCTTGCCCCTTGGCAGGTTGGCTCTAACGGTCTCCTCCCCAGACCTGCTTTGTCACCCCAGCTTCTGAGGGCTGGGCCAAAGCTGTGCCATCCCCATTGGCTCCCCTGAGCAGTGGGGTGCTGCTTCTGCTCTTGGGTGTCTGAAGAGCCCAGGGGAGCTTGCTCTGGGCACTGCTTGGTTCTCTTCCCTCCCGCTGCTTTGCCAGCCCCGTCCTGCTCCAGCCAGGTCCCCCCCCATCAGGCTTTCCCTAGCCACCCGAGAGCCTCCAACTCTGGCCCCCCAGGGTGAGCTTCCAGGCATTGCTCAGCTGGCTGGCTTCCCTCCTGCCCCAGCGAGTCCCTGCAAGTCCTGGGTCCGCGCCTCCGTTCAGAGATGGATCTTGGTAGTGTTGAAGCTTGTGGAGCTTCTGTTCCCCAGGCACCAAACAGCCTGTCTGGGCTCCCCCCCATGCAGACAGTGTGGTCAGCAGGGTGTGACAAGGTGGGCTAGCAGGTTGAGCATTGGACTGAGGCTTACTTTCTGGCTCTGGCTCTGTCTCCAGTCTGCTGGGTGACCTTGGGTGAGTCTCTGTGCCTTGGTTTCTTCATCTCTGAACTGAGGCTCACGATACCTTGTTTGAGAGGCTCTTCTCAGCAGAACATCTCCAGGTGGGTTAGAGGAGGGTGTGACAGCCTTTGTTTGCTCCCCAGGCCCCATGCAGGACATCCAGGCCCCTCCAGCCCTGAGGACACCTATGAAGTCGAGCAAGAGACGGAGATCACAGGGGCCCTGGGGCAGGTGAGTGGCTGCATCCATTGCATCCTTCCCTGCCTCCAGTGCATGCCAGTCTCCACTCCAGAGTTCATCTCTGAGCCCAACATCCCTGCCCTTTTCCCCCCCCAGTCTTCTCTGGGTCTCTATCATAGCCTGTGTTTGTGTCCAGTCTCCTCTTATGTCTCTGAGGTGGGTGGATTTTCTAAGACAAGTTGGCCCTTGACTTTCTGGGCTGCACAGGGCAAGGGAGACCCGGACACCTGGAGATGCAACTGCTCCTGGAACTCTTTTGTGTAGGTCTCCACTGGCCTCCTCTGCTCAGGAAGGGACACGGGGAAGAACCAGGGGCCGGGGCCGGGGCCGAGGAGGAAGAAGGCCCAGCAGGCAGGGGAATGATAGAGAGGAGAACAGACAAGGAACGGAGATGGGCACCTGCCCCATCTGCGCAGGTGAGTGTCCTGCACACGGGCTGTGGGGTGTGAGCATCCTCCAACACATGTCATCCTGCCCTAGTCAGCCTGTCTGCAGAGCCCTTCAGGTGTGCCTGACATGCAGCACATCTCGGTGGGAATGATACTCGCCTCCGAGATGCAGCCACATCTGGGGTGGAGTACAACCTGCATCTCCATTGATGTGGGCTAGGGAAAGGGTGAATGGCCCACGTCCATTGCAGATGTGACGCCAACAGAGATGGTTGGTTTAGGATCCTGGTTCTATTCTTCCTCCAGACCCTGGGCTAAGACCTGATCACAGAATGGATGGCAGGGAATGTCCTCATCCCAATTTTTGAAGCCAGTCGCCAAACCAGAAGATCAAGAAAAATAATGTGTGTTGAGTCACCTCATAACACGTGTGTGACCAGAGCAGGGAGGTTTGGGTTCCAGGTTGTTTAACCTCTTATTTTATCTTTTAAACTTGAATTCATATGTCAGGCTTGGAACGTAAGCATTTTGAAATGGACTGTCCAAGTGTTTCATTTTAGAAATGTCGAAACCAAATGAATTTCCTGATATTTTATTTTATTTTATTTTATTTTATTTTATCCCCCACCCCGGCTTCTGTGATTAGGGCTCAGGCTGGGATTCAAACCAATCTCAATAAACTGGAGAACTGGTTAGAAATCAGCTTCATTAAATTTAACAGAGACAAGTGTGTGCATTTGGGACTGTACAAATAGACTGGGGAATGAGGGGCTAGGCTGCGGCACTGCAGAGAAGGGCCCAGGGTAACAGCCGTAAGCTGAATGTGATCCAATAATGTGTTCTTGTTGCAAAAAAAACCCAACAGCGTCCTGGGTTGCTGCTCTATCCAGCACTGGGGAGGCGTTGCCTAGAGTCCTATGTCCAGTTTTGGGCCCCTTACTTCCAGAAAGATGTGGAAAGATTGGAAAGAGTCTGGTAGAGAGCAACAAAAAATTATTAGAGGAAAAACCTGACTTAAGAAGAAAGGCTGGAAGAACTGGGGTGGTTTAGTCTGAAGAAGAGAAGACTGAGGGGGACTTTCTTCCAGTCCCTGACAGGTAGTTATATGGAAGATGGTGATACACTCTTCTCAGTGGTGACAAGACAGGACAAGGAACAAGGTTGTGAACTTCAGCAGGGGAAATTTAGGATGGAGATTAGGAAGAACTTTCTCACCCTGAGGGTGGTTGTGCACTGGAAAAAGCTGCCTGGAACAGGTGTGGAGTCTCCATCCTTGTCTGGGCTGGTTAGGGCAGGGCTGATGCTGCCTGGAGTAGGGAGTTGGGTTAGACATGACTGAACATCCCTAACAGCCCGGCTTTTCTGTGACAGTCCTGTTTTCTCTCTTCCCCACTGCAGGTTGCTTCCGCATGGATCTCCTTCCTGCTCATGCCTCTGCCTGCGGGGAAGATGACGGCTTTCCAGACCCAGACTTGTCTTGGGAGAATCCCCCATGCCAGGAGCCCCCAGAGGCCTGGGTGCTGTGCCCCATCTGTGAGCTGCAGTTCAGTAGCACGGAGGTGGAGGAGCATGCTAGCACCTGTGGGGAGCAGGCAGGAGCCCTGGACTCTCAGCCATGGTCCTGGGTTGAATAGGACTGGGCAGGACAGTTGCAATTTAGGTAGCTCTTCCTGCCCTGCATCGAGATCTGTGCATGTGAGCACCACACACACCATCAGGCCACTGGAGCTCAGGAGGCTTGCCACAGCCATTGTGGGCTGTATGCCTATCTCGGGCGCATCAACCTTGGTCACAGCAGCAATGGGTTTGGCCCTAGTGTGTTCTCTTCTTATCCAGGGTGGGAAGCAGATCCTCCTGTCTTCAGGCAGGCATGTTCATGCTTCCCTGGACTGTGCAGCTCCTGGTTTTGAAACCAATGGCTGCTTGCGTTTGTCCTGGGGCATGAGCTGGAACCTGGACTTCTGCTTCTCTCAGGCAAGAGGTTGCTGTTCTAAATCCCTAGGCTCCATCCCACAGGAGCAGTCAGTGGGGGTGGCACAGCCTGGAGGGAATGGTAATATCAACCAGGTGCCTGTTCCTCGCTGGTGTTGGTCCCTGTGGCTCTGATGCAGACGGCTGGAGGGTTAGACTTGGTCATGTGTGCTGAAGCCAAGTGAGGCGAACACCATTGGCCCTGACTGAGAACACTGGCCTCCTTTTGCTTGTGGGCCAGGTTGTTGAGTTTCATCCAAACACCTTAGATCGCCTAGCTCGGTCCTTGGATAAAAGGAGGGACGTGCCTTCACTCTTAGTAAAGAAGCCTTTCAGTTCCTTGCTCAGATCCACCTCCCCTGGGCAGTGAAGCCTTCAAGAGGCTCTGGCTTTTGTGTGCGAGCAGCCACGTCTCTTCCCCAAGGCCCCTTGGGAACAACGCATGTGACGGGGTGTGAATCTAGCAGCTGCCCTGCCACTTGGGTTGCATCTCTGTCCAGCAAATGCAATAAACTGTTCTTGCTGGGCTTGCTCTGGTTACTCGGCGTTGCTTTCACCAGGGAGAGCTGCGACTGGGATGCAAGCTGAGGAAACCACAGGCCCTCTTGCTCAAGGCATCTCATTGTCTGGTAGATATTAGTGACTTCAGATGTGCACACGTACACCCATGCCTATGCATGTCCCCTGGGGAGGGTTCTGAATTCCCATTTTACAGGGAGAAAATTGGAACAACGTCTGCCAGGGTGTCACTTGGCAGGGGTCAGGGCTTGGATCCAGATTCAGAAAAGGAGCTTAGCTTGCTGACCCCCAACCCCTCCCATTCTCCCATTGATTTTCATGGGAGTGGAGCTGCTGAAGGACCTCTCTGGCTCTTCAGGAGCTGAATTTGACTGCAGCCACATACTTCCTGCCCACACAGAGGGCCAGGTTGCAAGTCATGCCTGGTCCTCATCCTTGTCCAGCTGTTGCAGGATGCCATTGCCTAGCTGCTGCACCATGGGCAGGTTCCTGTCCTGGATGATGCCAAGCAGCCCCTGCGGGAACTTCAGCTTCCTACTGATGATCTCCCTCCATAGATTCATGGATGTGAGGGTTGGAAGGGACCTCAGTAGGTCATCGAGTCCGACCCCCTGCCCCAGGGAGGAAAAAGTGCTTGGGGCCAGATGACCCCAGCTCCAGTTGGGCTGCTGTCGGGGAAGCGGAGCTGGTCAGATTAGGAGAGACCCTCGAGTTTCTCCCCCTGCCCAAGTCAGCCATGGGCCTGCCCACCCTGACCTGCTCAGCGTCTCCAGTCATTGTGGCTGGGGGG